GCACCAGACTGAAGGCGGTTTCGCCGAGGTAGCGCTTAAGAACCGCTTCTGGGTTTTCCTTGATATGCTGAACCTGAGGGGTGGCATGCTCCTGAGAGGCGCGTGGGTTGTAGTTTACTGACTGCAGGATCGAGGTCGTCTGTTGCTTTATAGGGGTAGCGTTTTCCCTTTTGAAACCGTTGACGAGATCTACGACGGGACTTGGGTGTAAACTGTTACCGCTGTTCATCAGAGTTGGTAAATTCTCCTTGTTCCCTTCAACCGTATTTGCGCTCTCAGGCAAGGCTCGATCGTCGTTCATCAGCTGTTCCCTTCGCGTTTTAGCAAGATGATTTTTCCTAGAATCCGCGTGCAGCTGTGCTTCTTTCTCTGCAATAGCAGAAAGATTTCGTTTCAAGCTTGAACCACCGGTTGGTGTGCCGGTTCCCGAAGGAACGTTGAGCGTATTTGTTTGCGTATTGACAGACTTCAGGCTGCTGGAAGGCAATTGACCGGCCGTTGACGGCTTGCGTTCGGACTTGACTGTCATGTCCTTCGGAGCAGGAGTCACGGATGTCGTTGCTCGTCCTGTACCGCTGCTGGGATTAGCATTCGCACCAGATGCCATAGCCTTTGCCTTTCTCTTATTCCATCTGGCGATATCCTTTTCCCACAGCTCTTTAGGTCGCACTCTGCCTTTCGTGTTCCAATAGAGACCACAAGCTATCGACAGCTATCATCAGCGAAATTCTAGAGAGAAAGATAGAGTGCGCAAGACTCACCATTACACACCCTGTGACCCTTGCCTTGAGTCCTCCAGGTGTTTGATTCTGTGATTCCGCAATTGGAACAGATCGGCAAGTTCCTCCCGAATAGCGTTCGAGCCTCTGGGCCCTTCTTGATAGATGATGAATTGTTGTCACTTCGCCCTTCGCTCTTTACGTTTGTTTGGCTGGATCTCTGGTTCAATATCGCCATGGAAGCCGGGGCCGCATTGACCGACTTTACAGGCGAATTTGTTCCGACTCCCCATCGAATTGGTCGCCCAGCCTCGTCAATAACAACACTGACCGTCTTCCGTTTCTTGCTCGATCCTGTGGCGATGTTGAGCGTTTTGACAGTGGATGTAACTTTGGGAACCTTGGGCACCTCGTCTATGGTAAAGCCACTTCCGTTGTTTCGTCGCTTAACAGGACTCGTCGCGGTTCGTCCAGAGAGGAAGCGATCAACCAAAGCAGAAGGATTCTTTCGTGCGAGTCTCACAACATTGGATACATTTGCAACCTGTTCCAACGTTGTGCCCATGCCCAACCGCGTACGTGACCGAGTACGAGAAAAGATATTGGAAGGCGAATTCTGCGGAGAGCCCGAATTTGGATCTGACGTATATTGATGTTCTCGGAGTGTTGACATGCCTCTTCTACGATTTCGGGATTGGTATTCAAAGAGGGCCATTTTGGATGAAGTAGGCCGGAAAGGCCGGAACGGCGTTCCAGATGGAAGCGTAGTTTTCTTCGAGTATGACGACGATTCCGTAGTCGATAGACTATCTTCCGTGATTCCGCCAGATGAGGAGGATGGCCAATCTGGTTCCGGTTTGACTTGAACTACAGGCTTCGAACGCGCAGAGTCCCTCGTATCAGTTGCATTTGTTGCCGAGAGTCCTGGACCCCATTCAAGCCCAAGGGTATGATATACTGCCCTTTCCTTATCTAGCGTCAGCAGAGCGTTGGATTGAACCGATCTATCTATGGTGATAGGCGCGGAAAGCACGAGTTCCACGTCGAGGAATGCAGAAATTGGATGCTGCAATTGCCGCGCCGCCAGAGCTTCTACTCCCATTGCCAGAGGATCGTTTGAAGAAAGGTCTTCGAAGACGGTTTCGAGCATGTGCAATCCAGCTGGAATCAACCGGCCTGTAACAGTCGTTTTTCCGGTACCTTTTTCTTGCAAGACTGAAGCGAGAGTAGATTTCGGTTGGAGGGCTTGTTCTGCCTGTCCTCTAGATTTGTTGAGAGCGATGTGACTGTGTGAGCTGGGAAGATGATGACCTCCTGGTGGAAGATATGGCGACGTGAAACCATACATGTTCATGCCCATCCATTGACCTGGTTGAGTTTCCGGGTATGCAGCACTACGTCCCGAATACCATGGAGATGACTGTACCGGTTCCGTCTCGGACTCTGGGATTGCGGAAGAGGAGCGGGATAGAGACGATGAAAGCCCTGGAGTGGAAGCCAGATGGGCCAAATTGTTCTGTGTCGTACGCTGTTGAGACGGATGAGACGATGCATGTCGCTTGACCGTAGAATGAGTGTAGATTTTCAGGTCCTGCGTCGTCCGTGATGGGATGATCTCGGGACTACGGACTGGGTATCAGTCTTATGCAAAAACGTTGCCAAGAGACATAGGCAAAGATCATCCTGAAGAAAACTTACCTGGAAAGACAGATCGCTTTGACTAGACTTTTCAAACAGACACTGCCCCTTTGATGGTCCTCTCCATGGTCGGCATCACCACGATCACCTATGTTCTCAATCTTCTTGCCTTTGCTTCCAAGGCTGCTCCTCGACGTCTCAGTATCGTGGACGAAAACGGGAATCAACCCGGAACAAGTTGCCGTGTAGGACGATTCTACCGGTGCAGATGGCAATTGGGGAAATCCATAGCCCGTGGAGAAGTAGGGAGGTGCTTGAGTGGTTATGGCTTGGGGCGAAAAAGTATACGTCACTCGGACTAGGTGGATTGAAAGTCAGTCTATAGCTTGATAGGAAGCAGCCTCCCGAATACGCACCTGGTATGTGATGGATTTTGTTGGGTTCGAGATCCATGGTGTTCGTTGACCTCGCTGTCTCTAGTCACTCTAAGTTGACAGACGATAGGCCGGGAAGTAATCACAAAGCTCCGATGTAACACTACGTATAGCTTGACATCGCCCCTGTTGCCTTGGACGACGTCGTATCCGCCAAAGAGGGATGATGCATGATGAACTAACGCGTCTTGCGAGTGATCTTCGCGCGTCGTGCGTTGCTTCATGTGAAACACTCTTCATGTGCGCCGCGTGAATTAGAGTGGGTTTTCGAGTTTTGGGCCCGCGGAACGCTTGAGAAACACGGTCAAAACAGCTGTCGAAAGGGGGGTTCGCGGGTAAAACACTTTATGACCAGTTTCGTCAGACCAAGATTTTGGCAAGCCACATGACGAATCCGTTGAATCTTCGAGTGGCCTGTGGGTCGTGTATGAGATTCTACCACGCAGAAACAGTGATTATGCGGAGACGTTGGTGTGTAGAAGAGGACAGGTGAAGAGTAAGAGCTTTTCATAAGCAAACAGCATTGATTCTACATATTTCGGGATTCCGTCTGCGTTCCTGTTGTGCGTTCTTCCTGTTGCTGACTGCTTTGATCTTGATTTATCACCGAGTCAGATGCTTTGTTGGTTGCGTTGCGAGAGGGGAAGGGGTGACAGGCGTGGGAGTAAAACGTGATTCCATGAACTGATGTTGCAATTGCTCTTCCTGTCCCCGCAAGCGCTGGGGGAATCGTTCTCCCTGGACCTGCGGCTGGCCCGAACACTTTACATTCGAGATCACGGAAAAAAAACTATTAGCGGCGAAGCGTTCGAAGGCTGTTCGTTGCCTCTTAACTTGTGTCTGGTTCTCCATCCGTCCCGTTGTTGCCCGGTCAGTTCACCTGAGTGCATGACTGGGCCACATCAGCAACGCCGCGAAGAACAGAAAGTTCTGGTCAGACTTGCAACGCATTCCCCAAGTGTCTTTAAGTCATAGATCAGCCAGCTTCCGCCTTGCTTGGTACAGAACTCCTCAGCCTAGATTTTTCAGTATTGGGCAGGAAGGGAAGCCTACTGCCCGAACGTAGCATTGATGGGAAGGATCGGTCACAATGCTGGATCTTGACAACAGAAAAGCCCTATATTAAATATCTAACGAGTGCAATGTTCGCTCCTGGGACTTTATACACCTAAAAATAGCTGAACCTCTTCCCCGATTGATTGGAATGCCATTCAAAGAGACAAAGTTACCCAACAGGCCATGATGAAAGCAAGGCAGCACTTGGAGTGCATTGCAACTCGGATTGCGCACTGAAGGTCGGTTGCCATTTTTTTTTTCGGCTTGCATAATTTCTTGCTTATATAACCAACGTGGGTCAACCTTTGACCCCTAACAAAGGCTTCATCCATGACAGCCGAGGCCCCTTCTAGGAAGACGGGTGGCAGAGAAGTCCGTAAAAATGTACTGAAGATCGTTTGTGCTGAGTTGCCAATTACCAAGTTCGGACCTGAAACCCGCCCCACAGCAGTAATTTTTGCACAGCAGAGGCAAAACCTGTTGCTCTTAGAAGCTCTTGCATGGTTCATGTTGAAGAGTCCAATGTATAGAAGTTATAGCGGTAGCTATGGCTTCCGCGGCGACACAAAGGAGGAACGAGTCTTTGACGACTTTTGCAGCTCAATGAACGCTCATTCCAAGAGGAGACGGCTTACAAGCGCCCAAGTGATTGCCTTAGGATCTGGAACCTTCAAGTCCGAGTACACCGGATTGCCTCTGAGAGCTACAATCAGAGTTCAACTCATGATGACAATGTCGGTCGCAGGATTAAGAAACAAAGTCGAAGCCATATAGACACCTGGATCTAAATAGTGGAAGGCAAGCGAGACCACTATAAACCTCAACATGTTGTGGTCAAGTATCTGCAGGAGTTGCTTGGGTGGACACGGACAAGGGAAAACAAACCAAAAAAAGAAAAAAGAGAAACTGCGATTTTGCATCATCATCCTGCTCTTGTGGCGTGTATGTCTTGCGTTCACTAATTTCTGTCGCTCTTAGGAGAAAAGAGAAAGTGACAGGTGTAGCGGGTGATCATGTACCAAAAAAGCCAAGGGGAACACGCCCGGTCAAACTTGATGGCTGGAACGAGGCGAGGCCCTGAGAATCTGAAGATAAAAAGCCAAGTTGCCACCGATCAGATGCGACCTTTTCGGGATGCAGAACAAAAAGGAGATATCCCTAGTGAGTTTCGATCTCACGACCTTGTGCGGACACTGACTTGGAGTCGTTGTTAAGCACACGTTCTTCCACTGAACTATAGAGACAGCTGATGTTAGTCGTCCTGCTGTTGCATATATATACCTATGATACACCCTTTGCGGAGACATGCGGAAGCAATAAAAGTCGCTCGTGATCTCAGCTGCTGCACCTCCTTGTCTGACAGCTTAGACATCATTCACCGGCCTTCAATTAATCAGTTCCTGAATCTGTGACAGACTGAGTCCAGGTATCGTGCGAATAACGCGACAATAATAGTGTTGGCACACTGGACGCAACATGGCAACGACGGCCCCTAGCGCCTCACCGCTGTTGGACGTTCCTCCCTGTCCGCGCACTCTTATCCTCGACTTCCGGGACTCGTACACCGCAAATTTACTGTCTCTCTTCTCGGAATTGTATCCACCACCGAATACGAACATTCTAGAGCAAATTTATGATTACCGTCGGAACGAGATAGAGAGTGGGGAACGCAATGGAGAATGGATATCGGACAAGGTCATAATCGTACAAGCGGACACTCTCAAGCTCCCAGCGTACTTGACGTTGCTTAAAGAGAAGCAAATCGACTGCGTTATATTGTCGCCTGGACCAGGAAGAGCGGACAATGAGGAAGTGAGATGCCCTATTCCCAATCGAACCGCTATGGCATATATCACAGCGACTGATATGACCCTATTGCGCACTGTAGGATGTGCCCAATCTAATGCAGATTATCGAGCATACGCAACTCCCGGTCCTAGGAGTGTGCTTGGGAATGCAAGCCATCGCTGTACATAGCGGTGCAAAAGTGAGACGACAATGACTTCATCATGAGGAATTGCAGGCAACCAGAGCTAATTAAATAATTCACGCATATCTTGCGATTTGCAGATCGTAAATACGCCAGATCTGAAACATGGTCATGTTATACCCGTGAAGCACAACTATACCAGTTTGTTTGACTGTCTCCCACACTCGCGCGTCCCATACAAGGAGAACGAGCACGAAAATGGAGAATTAGAAGCCAGAGGTCAGGTAGATTTAGTCGCTTACAACAGCTTAACGGTGTCATATGACAGTAAGGATTAACCGCAAGGAGCAGAAGGAAGCGTGAAATCAGTCTCATCTTATCTATGTTGATCAGATTTCCCTCACGATAAGCTTCGGATCACCGCATGGCATGAAGTGGGATCAGCTTCCGCTGGAGCGGAGGAGCGAACAGTCGATGCAAGACGGACAATTCAGGCAATTGAGGGAATCGATCGTCCCGTCTGGGGAGTTCAGTTCCACCCCGAAGTAAGTGCTGCATGGGGTATACTTTGTCTTCCTCCAAGTCATATTAAGGGTTGTTTTTTTTTTTTCGACAGTCCATTGCTTCTGCCCACGGCGCCGAAATTCTAGGCTCATTCTTGCACAAGACGCATGCATTCCACGGTAATCCGATTAGCTTCCCGAAGTTGACAAAGCAGACTTTAAAGCTGTCATCGGTATATCAAGGGCTTGATGCGCAGGAGCCTTCCCGACCCATCCTTCAGTCCCACGGCGCATCTTCCAGCCAACTAGAGGATGAGGATGCAGTGCTCGAATCTACAACAGAGACGTTTCAATCACCTGATCGCCGTAGCGTGTCTCCAGAAGAGATGTTTATCGGACTAATAGATAGAATCCGAAATCCATTGGGCCAAGTATGGTTAGATGGTGTTTCTGTAAGGATGTTCGGTTGAAGACTCGCAACATTATGACTGACATGCTGTGATCTCACACAGACCCGAGCGCCTACAACGTCATCTATTGCTTTCCCTTCCTTCATCATCACATATACAATAGCGACTCGTACTGTCACATGCCACTTTCTTTCGCCCGATCGGCACAGTGTCAGCCCGGATACAATACCGCAAGTCAAAAAGGCAACATTGCAGTTCGAGGCTTCTCCTGAAGGGAACGACGTCGATTTTTGGAATTGGTTCGGGAGAGGACAGACAGCATTAAAACGAATGTACATGACACAAGGACAACGCTGGAAAGCACGGCAGCCTTCAGTATACTGCGGTGCATCGGAGGAGGAGGACCGTAAACCAAGATGGAAAGGTGGATGGGTTGGATGGTGGGGATATGAGATGAAGGCGGAGAGTCTTGGTGGGTATCATCGGCCCTCCAAATGCGATGTCGACGACGATGGAGCTGCGGATGCATGCTGGGCATGGTGTAATCGGCTAGTCCAGAGAGAGCAAGATGGGCTATGGACCGCAAGAGGGATTCTCGGTGTTGAACCATTAAAGGATCAACCAACATTGCAATCAAACAGTTCCGACCTCCCGCAACAAGATATGCTCTCTTGGTTGCAGAGACTCGGGGTCCAGTTTGGCGCGACCCGGGAGAGCTGGAAGTCATGGACAGCAACGTGCCAGTCGGTCTTGGCAAATCCAGATGTTTCTTTGGCTATAGGGGATCCATCAAATACACGGATGCCCGATTTCAAATGCGATATAACAGCAGAGCAATACCTCGATGGCATACGCAAATGTCGGGATGCCATCTACGCAGGAGATAGCTACGAACTCACGATGACAACGCAATTCCGGTCACCAGCACCTCCTACTGCTGAAACGCTTGCTGCAAGATTCACGAAAGATCACAAGACAACGCCAGAAGCACTGGAGCTATATCTCCATCTTCGGCAAAAGAATCCTGCCCCTTATTCGACATACCTTTCTTTCCCAAGCGTTCGCACAACCATCCTGTCTTCTTCCCCGGAAAGATTTCTTCGAATTACACCCGGGGGACGCATCGAAATGAAGCCTATCAAGGGTACACGAGCCCGAGTGCGCTATCCGAGGGATGCAGAGATGTGCGCCAAAGAGTTAGGTCGCGAACCTACAGAGCAGGAGGCCGCTACCTGGTGCGAGGAAAAGGATAACGAAATTGGAGAAGCTTTGCAAAACGACGGAAAAGAACGTGCAGAGAACCTAATGGTAAGACCTTCTGTGTTTGAGCAGTTGCCCTTTCTAAATAGCATGCCTTTCACCCTTTACTAGATCGTCGACCTCATACGTTCGGACTTGCAGTCTTGCTGTACGCCGCACTCGGTCCAAGTTCCCAAATTGATCGCCCTAGAAACATATGAGACGGTTCACCAGCTGGTGACAACTGTCCGGGGGCAATTGCTAGATGGGGTCAGCGAGGTTGAAGCGGTAAAGAGAAGCTTTCCTCCAGGTATATACTGAATTCCGCTATTCTGCACACGCTGGTCTAACACTTCTTTGTGCGTAGGATCCATGACGGGAGCACCAAAACTTCGCTCCGTACAGCTTCTCGAACAATTCGAGCAGCAGCATCCGCGAGGGATATATTCCGGCGCCATGGGGTATATGTCGATAGACGGGGCGGTCGATCTCAGCGTTGTTATTCGTACGATTATTATTCAGGACCGGACCGTTACGTCAATTCCTGGCAGGCCAGGCGCTCAGGGCGAAGGCGGGCAAACGCTAGGTAGAAATATGACAATCGGAGCAGGCGGAGCAATAACATGGCTCTCCGATCCACTCAGTGAATGGGATGAAGTTCTGACGAAAGTCAGATCGGTTGTAGGAAGAATGCTTTGATATGGCGATCAAATTGACGGCTGAAACAAACAGAATTTACATGTTCCCGTCAGCCTCGAAACTTTCGAGGGCCTTGAGGTCAAATTTTCCCTACATAGGTCTATGCAATGGCCTATCATATCTCCTTTTTCCATTGCATTCGCTCGTTTTGTCCGTAAAAGTTGTTGTTTAGAAAGTGTTTGTAACGAGGTGATTGAATGCGCCCCCGACTACGCTCGATAGCTGATGGATCCACGCACCAGGAGTGTGGTTGCGAAAATTTCGAACGCCTATACGGTCGGTGGCGTAGGCGACTAGAGTTGAGATACAATATGATCTATGCTCTGCGAACTCCACATTTATCTCATCTGGTCAAGGATTAGGCTTGCCAAGACTTCTCGCCAACTTTCTCCTCCTCGGAATCAGAATCAGTGTTCTTGTTCAGACCGAATATCGCCTTCAGGTCAGCCATAGTGCCTCCTTCCTGTGAATTCTCTGACCCAGCCAAAGAGGCATTGACCAAGGCTGTCTTGTGTTTTTCTGCGTGAACATGCACACAACAAGCATAGGTAAGCCGTCTAAACGAGGTCACAGATCTTTAAGCACCACCTACGGATTTTGAGAATACGTTTCTCTGCGCGATGGAAGCGATTAGCAACGTCTTTCAGCGAAGTCGCAAATATCCCTAACGGAATCTATAACTCACCAATTGTGTCCTTCACGATGAAACGAGTCACGAAGACCGGTTTATTTTGGCCTGTACAAGGGATGTGATTCAGCATCGCAAACCATTGATAGTTAACTAGACCCTTACCGAGACGGTGCACCTTAGATGAGGAGACAGACCATCAAATATTAGTATGGCAGGTTCACCACAGAGACAGGTCAACGTACTCGGTCTACAGCTTGATCCTCGGTACTGCTATTCCCTGCGTGGTGTAATGTATGGCAGACTGTCAGTCTTGCATGCTCTGCAATCCCAGAATTCGATTATGTACTTACACCAACAGTCCATGAGGAAAACATCTAGGAATGTCGCAAGTTAGATCATGCTCATGTGGGCCCACATGGTAAGAACACTTACGGTTTGCCATTGTTCTGAACATAAATGTGAACCCGGTGAAAGAGTATCTATTAGCGACCGGAACAGCTGTATGTCGAGATGATAGACTGACAGGTTGAGACCCACGCCCCCCGCTTTCAACGAGATGAGCAGAATTTTCGGCACTCTGCTAGGCTTGGTGAATTCGTCCACAACTGCGGCTCTAGCTCTCTGGTCCATTGCACCGTCAAATCGCCTGCCAAAACAAGAGATTAGCATAAAGCGTGCAACGCACTCCGCATCCGAGGCAAGTATGTACAGATAAGAAATCCCATTATCAGTCAGAACCGGTTCAATCAGTGAAAGCATAGATGTAAACTGTTAGGACCAGATGATCAGTAAAACGCGTTGCAGCTTTCGCGGATCCTTTGAAATTAGACAA